TGCTGGGTGCAATGCGGGTTGACCTGGCTGGAGCCCAGCATACTGACAGGACACGTGGTTCTCCAGTACAGTGTCATTAGGTCCTGCCAAGTACAGCCGAAGGCAGTGTGGGCAGCCAGGACCCCAAGGGCAGGTCCTAAAGGATCTCACATAAGGCAAGCTGGAGAGTTTCTTTTGCATTTTTTTTTTAATTTAAAAGATTTATTTGAACGAGTAAAATACAGAGAGACATCCTCCATCTGCTGGTTCACTCCCCAAATGCCTGCATCAGCCAGGGCTGGGGCTGGGGCTGGCCCAAAGCCAGGAGTCAGGAACTCCATCTGGGTTTCCCGTGTCGGTGGACAGGACCCAAGTATTTGGGCCACCATCTGCTGCCTTCCCAGGCACATTAGCAGGAAGATGGATTGGAAAGGCAATAGCCAGGATTCAAGTCGGCGCTCGGCTATGGAATACGAGCATCCTAAGCAGGGCTTAGCCTGCTAGGCCACAGAGCTGCTCCCTGACTCAAACTACAATGCATGGAAAGCCACATGACCTTTTAGGGTTCCCCAGTTCCCTCCTTCATAAGTGTGGGTGCAGCTGATGGCCATCAAGGTTCCTTCCAGGGACTCAAGCAGACACTTAACTCCTACAGATCTTCAAGTCCTGCTTGGATGCTCCAGCACAGGCTTAGAAAGTTCTGCAGTCTTGACAGGTCCAGCAATTCTACTGGCACCTGCAGAAGGTGCCTGTCCTGGGTTCAAACTACAGATGCACTCCATGTGTTTTCCTTGGCATCATCCCATTTAAGTTCTAGGACTGTCAGTAACCTGGAGCCAGGGTCTATGTGGTGAGGACCCAGAACAAGGCTGCAAACTCTGGTCTGCAGAATCCTGAATTAAACACTGTCTGGGGACCCCTATTCTGAGCAGCTGGTAAGCTTCTCAGTATCAACATCTATTTGTGGCCGGCGCCGCGGCTCACTAGGCTAATCCTCCACCATGCGGCGCCGGCACACCGGGTTCTAGTCCCGGTCGGGGCGCCGGATTCTGTCCCGGTTGCCCCTCTTCCAGGCCAGCTCTCTGCTGTGGCCAGGGAGTGCAGTGGAGGATGGCCCAAGTACTTGGGCCCTGCAGCCCATGGGAGACCAGGATAAGTACCTGGCTCCTGCCATCAGATCAGCGCAGTGTGCCGGCCACAGCGCGCTGGCTGCGGCGGCCATTGGAGGGTGAACCAACGGCAAAGGAAGACCTTTCTCTCTGTCTCTCTCCCTCACTGTCCACTCTGCCTGTCAAAAAAAAAAAAAATCTATTTGTAAGTTGCATCTTGGATCATGGTGGAAAATCGAAAAGAATATGGAACACAGGGCCTCTTAGTCCTGTCAAATCCCCAGCCCGCCAGTCCTCTCTGCCTGGCTCTCCTCCCACTCACGTTAAGAGGCCCTGGGAAGGCACAATTTTCTCATCACCATGTGACACAGGAAACCCCAGCCCCTACAATCTTGATAACTTCAGAAACTCTTAAGAAATCTCAGCTAAAATTAACTCCTTCAGATTTTCAGAGGAGCTTGATCTGACATGTATTCCTTTATTTGACTCCTAGGGCTTGAAGTAGGAGGGAAGGAAAGTTCAGCTGTTCCCTGGCTACATCCCCTTGCCTTGCCGTTCCGCAAGCAGACTGGGAAGCAGGTGGATGGGCAGCCAGGGGCCTTCGACCGAAGTCCCGATGCCTCGACCCTGCGGACAGCCCCCAGGCCCTCATCGCCGCCAGACCCCAGTGACCCTGGCAGGCAGGAAAGCCCCGGTGCCACAGGGTGAATGTGCTGGTGGCTGCTCCCACAAGCCACCAGGACTTCCTAGGACCACCTCAATTTCAAATCTTCTGTTCTAGGACGTGGTTCCCCTGCAGTACGCACAGGGACCCCATCTCGCCACACCCACTCATCCCCTCTGTGACTCCTGGGTGCCCCGTGCCTGTGTGTGACCAGGAGGCTCAGGGCCGAGCTGATGATTCCAAGTCCTGCTGCCAGGAGAGCATCCACAGGGAGGCCAACAGCATCTGCTGGGGAAGCACCCTTGCTACTGAGACACTGTCCTGAGAGACCACCGGATGTGGCGGGGACGAGAACGTGTTCCAGGATCAGACTGCCCGGGTTCAAGATCCGGCCCGCCTTTGCCAGGTGAGTGATCTCGGACCAATTGCTACGCTGCTGTGTTGCTCGGTTTCCCAGGCTGTGAAATGGAGATGATAATAGCACCGGTGTGGGAAGGGTATGGTGAGGACCCCGTGAGCTGCGGCATCCCGAAGCTCCCGCAGCAGTGCTTGGTAAATGAAGACCCTTGCATCTCTGTAGCGGAGCTAAGCCAGCGACAAGGAGATGGATAAGCAGCTGAGCCAGTAACTCATTTTACAGATGAGAAGACTGAGGCCCAGGGAGTTGGAGGGGCCTGACCACCATTGCAGAGTGAGCAGTGGCAGGGGGTTGCAGGCTAAAACCTGGGCTCTGACCTCTGCATCACTGCCAGTGATCCAGTGAGCCCTCCTACTCTGTGTAGCATGAGTACTTGATTATCTCAGTGGTTTATTGGATGCAGTTTTTTGTTTTGTTTTGTTTTGACAGGCAGAGTTAGACAATGAGAGAGACAGAGATTAAAGTCTTCCTTTTTCCATTGGTTCACCCCCCAAGTGGCCGCTATGGTCAGTGTGCTGCGGCCGGCGCACTGCGCTGATCCGAAGCCAGGAGCCAGGTGCTTATCCTGGTCTCCCATGTGGGTGCAGGGCCCAAGCACTTGGGCCATCCTCCACTGCACTCCCGGGCCACAGCAGAGAGCTGGCCTGGAAGAGGGGCAACTGGGACAGAATCCGGCGCCCCAACAGGGACTAGAACCCGGTGTGCCGGCGCCACAGGTGGAGGATTAGCATAGTGAGCTGCAGCGCCGGCCTATTGGATGTAGTTTTTAAGATGATCTGGTTATCCAGGAAGCAGGTTCAGCATTAGGTGGCCAGAGCTTAACACTTTATTAAAACTATTACAGGTATGTGATTAGTCACACATGTAGATGGCTTTTCTATGACACAGATGGAAGTATTCACCCCTTCATCTTTTGGGGTTGGCCGAGCCCTGCTGGAATCGTAGCAGTGACAATTTGATGAGATGATCAGCCATCGAAGCAGGCAGCCCATCACCCTTTACTTGTGCCACGCGTGTCTGGAGAGCTCCCTGAATGGGGAGGGCAGCACAGGGACAGAACTGGGGCTGCACCTGCTAGGAATCGTGGGCACAGCAGGAGCTGAATGGGCTTAGATTTGATTTTCTTTGCCCTGACACTGGGATTCCTATAGGTAGTCAATTGGTTGCTGTTGATCTACAAAGGAAACACTATAATTCAATAGTTACAAAATAACTCCTTTAGCATTGATCTTGCTGGAACCCTAGCAGATAAATGGAAACTTTTAGCAGCCAAAATTATCCTCATACTTTGTAGATCAGACCATGCAGTATGGTGATAGCTCCAAATTTCACTTGGGCTGAAAAATGGCCAACAGTTAAGAGGCGCTCCAATTCCTCTGACCACCTACCCCCACCCCAGCTCTCCTGCAGACCCGCGACCCTGTCAGTCATGCCCTCTCCTTAGGGCTGGCACAGCCCACCCTGCCTAGGTGTCCACGTGGCTGATTTTCACCCACTGCCAGTCTTGGCTCAGGTCTCATCTTCCCAGTAGAAACCCAGCCCAGCCTGCCATCCCCAGCTCGTTTCTGTCAGGCATGTAGCTCAGTCTCCTCCCCATCAGAATGTGAGTTGCAGGAAGGCACAGAGCTTCGTCCGTTTTGTTCCCAGACGAATCACCAATTTCTGGCACACTGAGGAAGCCAGTAAATACTGGTCAGATGACTGAGAAACCGGATCAAGTGCTAGCAGGATGGCAACCTCAAAAGAGACCCTGCTTGCCTGAGAACTCCGCGGGCTCCCTCGTGCCCGCCTCTCCCTCCACTGCCCAAGCCAACACTGCCCCTTGCAGGCCGGGCACCTCCCTCCTTAGGCCCACATGAGCTCTAGGGCCGCTCCCGGGGTGTGGCACTCTGTCTGCTCAGGAAGAGGGTGCCCGGCTCTGGTTCTCAGGTGCACATGGGGACTCTTGCGGCGACCGATACTCAGCCACCAGTGAGCCCCACTGGCCGCAGGGGCCCTGTGTCTCCCACGCTGGAGGCCCGAGTGGGGTTCATTCTGCAACACAGCTGGCGAGCCTCCAGCAGCCGCAGGATCCGGGGTGAGGATCCAGGCCCCCGCCTTCCGACTCTCCCAGGGCTTGTTAGCACCTCCAGCACAGGTGGGTGTGGGTGAAACTCGGTTGGCAGCCTGGCTCCCCTGGAGCACTGGTGAGGGGGTGAAACCCAGGGTGAAAGGCAGGGTGGGGAGCATGCCTCAGTGGCCCTGATCCCTGCTCTCTCCCCACCCCAGGGCTGCAAATAAACCGACTCCCGCAGAGGATAAAAGGAACCGGGTATTTCACCAAAAGCGGGAAGATTTTTTCTCGTCTTGCCCACCAACTCCCATGTCCATGATCTCACCCCCCAGAGACCTGAGGCGCTAATAGCCCATAATTACTTAACCCTTCCTGCTCTGCCGTTTGTTCTCGGAGGCAAGTGCCAGATAAACACGCTGTTTATTATGGAGATAGTCTGAATTCAGAGAAAAACCAAAGCACTGTGAGAGTTTCTTAAGAGTGATTCCTGTCTGATAATTAGTCACATGAAAGGAGGAGAAAGTTTTGAAACTGTAGAAAATGGTTTCCTTCCTGAGATCTGTGTGTTTAGGAACTCAAATTTAAAAATCTACATTTCAACCTGGAATTTGGTTTTGTACTTTTATCTTTTGTTTTACTACCACGTGCTTGTTTTATTTTTTATATGTGTTTTATTTGTTATACAAGTTTCATATATTTTCTTTATACTGTTTTAGGAACATAGAGGCACTCCACCCCACCCCCACCCCCACTTCCCTCCCACCCACACTTCAACGCTTCCTCCCCCTCCCTCTCAGAGAGGACTGGAACCAGAGCAACCTGGACTTGAACCCGGGCTCCGATATAGGATGTGGTGTTGGTGTAATGGCTGTGCCATGATGCCAGCCCCTTGTTCTTGACACCAGTTCTTTTACACCAGTGTGCTGCCCACGCCTGCATTTCTCGGTGAGCTCTGGCCTGCAGGCCAGCTCTGGGGTACCATGAGCCTTACACATGACGCTGCCCACCCTTTTTGATTGGCGCGATGACTGTTTTTGCTGTGGCTGGGGAGGCGCTGTTTGGTGGCGTTTCACAGGCAGGACCAAACAGCTGAGCTAAGGGGAGGCTTGAGGCAGGGTGGGTGGGGCAGAGGGAGAGCAGACAGGGCAGGAAAGAACTTAGATTGAAGGAAGAGTTCAGAGGCCACTGTGGTGTCCTCAGTGCACAGCGGGAGGGAGGGGGCGTGTCTGGGAACGCGGCCAGGTGGCTGCCTGGGTCTGTGGGAGAACCTGGGGGTGGTGGCCGCCCCGGCCATGACCTGTAGGTGACGGTGAGCATCTCGCACGTGCCACGAACAAGTCTAAAACCAAAGTGAGACACAGACCAACAACGTCCCCTCTCACCTTTTATTACAGATGGAGCTCACGCGGGGCGGACACCGTGTGAGGCAGCAGGTCCTAAACCCTGCCGCACACCTCAAGGCGGACTGCAAGGCTGGGGCTACAACGTTGCTGAAGAAAAACACAGAGCCGCCACCCCCTCCAAACACACACAGACGACACTGGGCATGAAATAAACATACAGGAAACACAAAAGACGACAAAAAGGGAACAAATACGAGGGTACTTCAGTTTGTGGGAAAATGCAATGAAAAGATGTTTTGCTGCAAAAATTCGGGAAATCCATGCAGTTTCCTCACAATACACATTTTTGTGTGAAATTTGAAGACCCCCCCCCCAACTTATGCATGGATTTCAAAAAATTTTTCGCACCAAAATCCACTTGTCTTTCAATTCCATTTCCCACAAACGGTTTGAAGTTCCCGGCATGCGGTCTGGATTACAAAGGAGAAAACAAAGAACGTACACACCGCCTCAGTCCTCAAGGCACGTACCTTTCAGCGAGGCCTGTAAGTCCTTCATGTTCTGGTCCAAGAGCTGCGAGGGAAGGAAGCTGGATCCCGCCTGCAGCTTGAGGTCTGGCTCACCCAGGCCGGCGGCCGCGGCCGACTCCCTCAGCCGACCGTCTCCAAACACAGCGGCCCACTCTCTGCCGAACTCGCCCTCCTCCAGGGAGGACGCGCTGAACATCTCCGTCAGCAGCAGCAAGTCGTCCTTGTCAGCGCCTTCGGGGTCCAGGGTCCCCACCCCGGGGCCCGGGCCAGCTGATGGAAGTGACAAAGAACAGCTCGTCACCACGGAGGGCTCGACCCCCTGGAAGAGACGCGCTGGGGCTGCGCGGGACGAAGAGCAAGGCACTGAGAGACCTAAGGTCTTCAAAGTCACGGGAGATACTTGCTACGCAAAAATCACCCTCGGATTGCAAAGGTTTTGTGCAGCGACGTAAACATCTGTTCACTCTCCTCCTCACAAGCGTCGTGAAGCTCCCTCCTAAGGGATTTCAGAATGAAATCCCCAGTCCTATGCTCCCTGGCAGCCCTTCCTTCAAAGCGAGTTCAATTTCTGCTCATGAGTGGAGTTGCATGGACATACTGGCCACAGAAACGCCAGAGTTTTGGTTTTTCCTTGACATACAAGCAAATCTACCAAAACATTCCTCAGATCTCAAACAAAGCCAGGCTCGAGAGCGTACTGGCCAGCCTGGTTCTTTGTGCATCAGCTTCCAGCCTCTTCCCACGAGCCCTAAACCCACACTGCCCGGGCTGGGACAGTGAGCACACCGAGAGGCAGCCCGTCCTACCCCCCAAGTTAGGGAGGTGCCTCATGGAGCCCTGCCCAGGGCAGGAAGGGGGCGCAGAGCATGCTGGGAAGCCGACAATGACCAGGAAAGGCATCCATGCTTGTTCTCTGCAGGGAGCACGGGAAAGGGGCCCGGTTGGCCTGAAGGCAGCAGGGAGAGACCGACCGGCAGGGAAAGCAAATCCAGGAACCCCCCAGGGGGGCGCTGCTGGGCCACAGCTCTGGGAGGTGGAAGGGAGCCCCGCGCCCCACTTCCTTGCCCGCAGCTCTGGGAGGTGGAAGGAGCCCGGGCCCCACTTCCTTGCCCGCAGCTCTGGGAGGTGGAAGGAGCCCGGGCCCCACTTCCTTGCCCGCAGCTCTGGGAGGTGGAAGGGGCCCCGCGCCCCACTTCCTTGCCCTGTGACTTTGGCAGGATCCATAACTGCCCGGCATCTGTTTTCTCACTGCTAAGGTCACATTCATCACACCGGCCCCGAGTGTGGTCAGGAAGACCGAAAGGAATAACGCCTGGGTGTGAGAGAAGAGGATCATCCTCACGAGTGAGCGCCGGCCAGATCCTGACCGGGGGAGGGCGGCAGCACCATCAGAAAGTCACACTTGGTCCTAGGTGGAGAATGGGAACGGACGGGTTCATTAACTGTGGCGTTGCGCTGACACCTAAGCATCCCCTGGACACAGCAGCCGCTTTGTTGTAAGTCACGCAGAGGAGGGGAAAATCACAACCTGCATCTCTCTGCGAGGCACTGCAGCTCCAGCCCAGCTCTGTCGGTGGAAGCATCAGGAGGAGCCAGCGAGGAAGCGAAGCCTTGCTTTCTCTCTCAGGCACAGCGCCCTGGGCTGGCTTCCCTGGACCTGGTCCCAAGCCCACTTTCCGTGAAGATCTAAAGACGAAGGGGATTTCTGAAGTTGCTGAGCTTGGCTACAGGTCTGGGAGAGGAGGGGTCCAGTCCTCCTTCCTGCCGCTGGTTTGAGAAGTAGGGGCACTACTTGGCTTTCATCAGCCAGCCGTCTCATTTAAGCACTGTTATTGTTTGTGTTATCAAAACGTTCTCCCTGAGACAGGGCCTGTGGGTGGGGCAGGTGCGAGGGTGGGAGAAGGGCATTTTCAGCAGGCTTCTGAGGCGGCGCTGCCCCCACAGGAGGCCTGCGTGGGGCCAGGGTGGGCAGGGCCAGGCCGCCAGCCCCGTCCGCGAGCGAGGGCAGGCGCTGAAGTCGACACGTGCGTCCCTGCCTCCTGTCTCGCGGCATTGCCCTCTGTACACGGGCCAACTTCACCAGTCTCTGCACTTCCTACTTTCGAGGGGACTGGAATGCCCCAACCCTTTCATTGGTTTTCTCTCTGACCCAACTGAAACCAGATGATTACTGAGCCAAGCCCATTAAATTGGAACCACTTCAAATCGAGGGTGACTCGAAACCGGCCTGGGGGATGACACACTCCTTCTACGTTCACTCGACACGGCCCTCTGCCCAAGGGGGCCGGCTGTCAGCTAGATGCCCGTCCAGGGACCAGCATCGCTACATTAGCAACGACAAGTGACAAACGTGACACCGAGCCCTCTAGAAATGATCGGGACTGCGGAAGTCCTGCCTTTGTGCTCGGTGGGGCTGGAGCTGTGGTATTTACAGTGACTTCACCATCTCCTCCCTCCTCCTCCGGTTCTCAGCTTCTCCACCAGATCCTGCACAACAGCTCATAAGAGGCCTCGTCACCCCTCCCCCATGCAGATGCCTGACAGGCTGGCCGAGGCCGCCACGTCGCAGGCATGGTGACTGGCTCCAGGACAGGCACAAGCTGGAGGAGCCTCTGGGTTTCATACGTGCAAACTGGATGGAACCTCTTTCTGTCTGTGGGATTCCAAGCCCTGAAGATGCAGATTTGAGGCTTCCCAAGATAACAAAGCCAATAGGTGGAAGGCAACAGGCTGAAGAAATAGGGAGATTCCTGACAACACTGCCTAAGCTCCTGGATCCAGCCTTGCCTGAAGCTGTCACACTCAGTTACATGGACCAGTACTTTCTCTCTCTCTCTCTCTCTCTATATATATATATATATAGAGAGAGAGAGAGAGAGAAGGGTTTCTAACACTTGCAACCAAAATATTCCCAATACTCTATCCTATTCCTGCAATAGAAATGAAACTATGGGTGTTAAGAATAATGATATTATCTACAGCCAGTTCTGGACACAAACTTGGACTATACTGCAGTCTACCATTAAATCTGACCTATCATTTAGCACTCTGGTTATTTAACAGTTAAAGCAGGCTGCACAGTGAGTATTTTTCCTTTCAAGAGAACTTATTACTTAGCTAAAAGCAGTGAAACTGGCACTGACTTGAACCATAAAACATGGAAACCTCCCAATTATTGCACTGATAATTAAGATGCTTGAAATTACTACACATAACTTGTAAGAAAAACTTAATTACAAGTAGAAAAGGACAGGTTCAGGTCTGTAGTCGGACAAGTCGAGACTTGAGAAACAGCAGCAGTCAGTTGGCTTGGGAGAATCATGCTATCATTTTCTTTGAAAATAATTCCCCCCAACTGAGAAAAAACACGGGGACGCAGGCAGCAAGACGATAAGGCCTTTGAGAGCAGCTCCGTGAGCGCCACGCAACAGGAGGGAGAGCTTCCTCCCACGTGGGTGAGCAAGTGCCGCCGCTGGGTCATGGCGCCCCATCCTGTTTTTATCTTAAAGGATGAGCAAAGGTGGGGGAGCGCTCAGGTGCCAAACCCACAGAGCTCCTCCAAGCCCCCTTCCCTCTCTCCCAGGCTCGCAAGTCTCCATGTTTGCTTTCACGTTAGATAACCCGACCACAGGCGTTACTATAAAAATAAAAGCCAGCAGACATGACGTAGCCACATTCTCGCCTCTCTGTCTCCAACTCCATGACCCGCCACGCACTCCCCCTTCCCTGGAAGATCAGCCCTCTCCGGGCCCTCCCCCTCCTTCCGGGAGCCTCCTCTCTTCCCACCACCATTCACCTCTCCGATTCTTCAGGGCTTCCCGTCCCCTGGCCTCTGGGGACTGCTGCAGGGCCCCGCTGTCTGCCCTTCCCGCTGTCTTCCTCCTCCCATGCCACACACTGTCTCGACCTTTTGTCAGCTGCCTGGATGAGGCTCCTGTCCCCATCCTGCACTGAAACGGCTCCCTGGAGGGTGACCAGCGAGGTCCTCCTGACCAAGTCCAACTCTCCCTTCTTGGACGTTGGCCACGTGCGCGTTTGTGCACCACTGCCTCGCTCTGGAAATGCTGGCCTCCCGGCGGGTCCCCAGGAGGCTCCACCTCCTTCAAACTGCCTTCCCCACTGCCTCTTCCTAGGTCTGGTGGCCTCCAGGATTTGCCCCGAAACATCCCATCTCCCTTTCCTGCACTTTCTATCCAAGATCTTATCTGTTCTCACGGTTCCAACCTCACCTTGCAAGATTCTCAAACCTCTATCTCTGATTCTAAGTTCTTCTTGAACTTGGATGACAGCTTCCTGTCTAGGGGGTCCTTTAAGGTTTGCCCATTGGCCAGGAGGCTGGCACTCCACAGAAGCACCCTCCTGCGTGGTGGTTTGCTGGGTCCATTGTGAAAGTAATTCCTGACTCAAAAACCTTCAATGGCTCCCTGTGACCACCGAGTAAAACGACACCCTTTAAACTCTGATGCAACCATTGCGGTAACCCGGCAACAGTGCCCGCTGAGAAGCCCAGGATCCAGCAAGACTCCCCTGCTTGCCCTGGCTGAACATGCGCTGTTGCCTTCCCGTCTGGGGACCTGCTGGGTAGAAGATCTATCTAGATCTACCTACCTACCTACCTGTATTTCAACCAAAAAGCTGTGCTCTCTAATTCATTTTTCAGACACCCAGATGAATGGCCACAGGCGGAACTGCTGGGCTACGGGTGACCTGCCTCTCAGACCAAGGCGCGCGCTCTCTGTGGCACCCTGCACTGACTCATGGGTCTGCTCGGGACCTCGCATGCAAACCTTGCCAACGTCTTCGCGGCGGAAGCCTCCACCACAGCACTGCGGCCAAGGTGCCCATCCCTGAGCGAGCACGGACCACTGAGCTCCATGTGCGTGAAGGCCCAATGCAGGGGCAGCTGCGACAGCTCGCTCAGGTAACGGTTTTGAAATCACACCGAGTTTCATGACCTCAGCATAAATGAGGAACACAGAGGGTGGAAACCTAACTGCGCAGACCCACAGCGAGAGCACAGGAAAACAAACAGATAACTGTCACCTCACCCACCTTCGGGTGCGTGTGAAACAGGAAGACGCCACTCTCTGGTTTGCTCCCTGCTCCCCGCTCTCCACTTATGACTAATCTGAAAGGCTGCACATTTGCAACACAGATGAAAAGTCCCCCCAACACCAGCCCTAGCCTCTTGTCGCCCAAAGACTGCATGGGGACAGAGGGATAGGAAACCACCTTACCAAGATGTTGAACGAGAAACACAGCCATCAGAGGAGGCTCCAGTGAGAACCCGTACTTGCTTAGCATTCGAGAACACGGTTTCTAAAAACTCCCTCTGGTTCAAAACGAAATGACTATAATAAGAACAGATGGGGGAACCACCCCTGCCAACTCTGAAAACAAAACAATAAACCAACAGTGCTGATGGCCAGGAGTACTAGACAGGTGCTTGTCGACGATCCCCAGGCCTGGCACCCATCTCAGTGCTACCCCTGGGCAACCAAGCAGCCTGACAAGAGGCAGGGAACCCGAGCCAGGGCTCAGGGTCCACAGGACCCTGACGGAAGTCTTTTTGGGGTCAATCTGGATAGAATACCACTGAGCACTGGGCACTCCAGGAGGGGCAGCATCGGATTTCAGAATGTATCATCACTCCTCAGAGGGGTCAGAAGCCTGCAGAGGGCAGGGAAGTGGGGAGGTTTCTCAGGAAAGGTAAGGAGCTTCAGACCTGCCACAGGGAACCTGTCCCATGCCCAATCCCTGCGGCACGTGGGACACAGCTCTGCATGAGCCGGAGCACGAGAGAGAGCAGCACATACTGCTGGGGGCTGCAGGCTCTTGCCCGGGCCTGTGGGAGCCACTGACATTCTGCCACGTGGCCAGAGCTGAGACCCACAATTCCAGAAATGATAGCTGGACGAATAGCAGCAGCAGCAAGACATGGACAATTACTTTTTTTTTTTTTTTTTTTTTTTTGGCTTGGCTCAAGGTGCCCTTGTCCCACAGTGGGGTATTTTGGGCAAGTCCCAATTGTAAGATTTAGGTGAGCTGGCTTCATCCAACTCCCTTTGCTTTTTCTTGGTCCAGCTGTAAGGAACACAAAGACTTCTACACGCTGCAACTCAAGGACTGATGGCAGATCGTCACACGCGGTCCCAAGGCGATTGCACAGCCAGCTTCATGTGTCTCTGAATGTCACTAGGTGTCTTCATCATTTAGGACATTTTTATAAATTGTGGCCAAATACTGGTCTTCCCTTACATTATCTACTTAGTGGGAGAAAGCGATTTTACTGGGACACTGACTCAGTGCTTCGCCAAGCCATGGCTCTTTGTTCTAGAATGGTCGCTGCTGTCTTGGAACCACCATATCTTGAGTTTCGCCATGCCTCGGCTCGCAGAACTCCCATGGGAGTGAGCTGGATCTGACAGTCCTGTGAAACCAGCCGCCCCTGGATTCAGCTCTTTTCCTCCTGGTGTACTTTCTTGTGTATTATAACCAACATCTTACTACAGCAGTTTTCCAAAAGGCACGCACTCTGAAGCCGACAAGTTCATCAGTGTTCGTCAGTCATCACAAGTTCTCCATCGCCAAGAGCGTCTGCTTACACTCATGGCCCTGAGGCTGTCTCAGCTGATGCCACCTGTGGCTTACGGCACAAAGGAGAGGCGGCAGTGGGCGCACCACCGGTGCCTGAAGAACCCGTGTGTGGGCTGGCGGTGGCACAGGGAAGGGAGAACTGCCTGGCACTACAGCCAACGGCGGAGATTTGGATGTAGTGCGTTTTCTGCTGGGCAATGTGTACAGAATTTAATGAAGAGCACTTTCAAACGTCTACCTTTGGAAGTAAAACGAGTGCTCACAAAAGGGTATGAGCTACTATTCTACACAGCTAACAGGCACCATAATGATAAGCCAATGAAAGCTTTCTGAGAGAAACAAAGTTATCAGTGCTACCCCAGTGTATCTTGGCATTCCAGGGCGCTCAGGCGAGTAGCATTTCTGATTTAATTCCATGAACAAATGCATGGCTCTTAGGTTAGCATTGTGCCATTGCTACCAAGTTAAGGCAATCCAAGCCCAAAGCTAAGAAGATCTGAGACTCAGGTTTGCTGTATCTACGGAAAGAAACACTGGAGTCACAATAGGGTTGGTGATGTTGGAATTGGAGGGGGCAGGGAACAGGAAAGGCAAATGTTTACGCATTTGTTCAGTCATTCGGTTCTTGAACTAATGCGAATATACCACCTACTCAAAAATTAAACTCGTTAAAATAATTAAAAAGGGTGCTGATAAAAGTAAAATGCAAAAGACAGAAACAAGATGTTAGGAATAGGAGAAATAACAGTCCTCCTACCAAAGTAAGTTGAAGTCTGTGTCTGATTTAAATGCATTTATTAAATGTTAGGACTTGCTGGAACTGAGTGGTAAGTAAGAACCCAGGGCTTGTTATATTATTGTCTGTATGACGTTTTTGGTAAGATTAAAATATTTCATCTTCTGAAAATAATTTAATAAAAAGTGCCTTTATTTCATCAAAATATTCTATTCTCAAGCTCAGATTAAAATGTCTTTACAAAGATGGAGGCCACCTATGGAAATCTGCGTTTACTGCTTGTTCTTCACTTCAGTACCGGGGTGACGGCCAGCCACGTTGATAAAATACGCACAGACATTCAAGAAATATTGCACATGCAGCTGCCTGCCTCAGAGATTAATAAGGAAAGAACATTTCTCCTTCCTGTTTATATGACTGCTCCTGAGTCTGGGTGCCGAGAGGTGGTACATTTCCATTTTTCAAGTGATCCAATCAGGAGCCGGCACTGTGGTGTAGTGGGTAAAGCCACCACCTGCAGTACCAGCATCCCATATGGGCACCAGTTTGTGTCCCAGCTGCTCCACTTCCGATCCAGCTCTCTGCTATGGCCTGGGAAAGCAGTAGAAGATGGCCAAGTCCTTGGGCCCCTGCACCAGCGTGGGAGACCCAGAGGACCCTGGCTTTGATAGGCACAGCTCTGACCATTGCAGCCATCTGGGGAGTGAACCAGCAGATGGAAGACCCCCCCCCCCACTCTGCCTCTCCTCTCTGTGTAACTCTGACTTTCAAAGTGAATAAAAAATCTTAAAACAAACAAACGAAAAGATTCAACCAGTGTCGTCCCCAGCCCCCTTCCCAGAGACTTTCTTCCTCTCATGCTCGCTGAATGAAAGCCACATGGAGCTCAGGATGAAGCCAGTTCGCCCTGGCTGGCCCACAGGAAGACCCTGGCTAATCGCTAGTCCTGTAGAAATCTGTGAGAGCAGGGCACACTGCACCTCCTGTCCCTGGGGCCAGGGATGGGCATGAGTTTGGCTCAAGGGTATTTTGGACTTGTGGCAAATCATTAAAATGAAAACACTTGGTAGGGCGGAGAACGAAGGCTAAGATGAGACTGAAAGTACTCAGGTTCTTGGGATCACTTTACTCTATCCACATCCCATGAAATCCAAGCCTCTGAGTTCTCTTTGGGGGATTACGCTGTAATTCTGGGTCTCAGAACTTGGATGTGGGACTTGGCCAGCCAAGTTCCTGCTGCATTTAACTAAGGCTGCATGGAAGTACTGAACCACCTGCATTGCTTGTCCAGCCCTTCTGTCTCATCTTATGATCCTCCGGAGAGAGACTCTGGGGCAGAGACCATGGAACACCTTTACATACAGGGTTCTCTAGTCCTGAAATTAGTCAGGCTCTTGCTGTTGGTTCCATTTTACAAATGAGAAGAGTTTAGGCTTAGAGAGCTTATGTATAAAGCAAATGACAAGGCCACACGGGCCATTTACGATAGAACCAGTATCCAAACCCATGTCTGTCTGCTTCTGAAAGCCAGGTCTTCCCTCTTACTACAGTGTGTGTCCTCTGACAGAACTTTTAGCTTTAATGGTTTACACATGATGAAATTAATTAACGTAATGATGAGAGACCCAGATGTACTCATTTGGCTTGTGCATATTTAAGGTCATTAATGAAGACTGTCACCTAACCACAATTCCCTTAGAAATGAAAAGCTATTTAAAACATGAACATTACATTTTCTTGCATGTAAAAAAGGAACAAAATTATAAAACTGAAGAAATACACGAATCTTACCGCCTTCCTCAGATTTCATGTCTAGTAGTCCATCTATGGGTCCTTCAGGGGAAGGGAAAAGAAAAGCAGTGTGAGTCAGGCTTTCATTCTGTAAGACATTCGAGTCAAATTATGAAATTTGAGTAGTTTTCCTTCATCTAGCTTACCTGAACATGCACTATGCATCGCACTTCTGTCTAAGGCAGAGAAAACGTCTTTTCCATCTTCAGCTGTAACATAACATGTTATCATCACCAGCTCAGGGCAGTGGGCATGCGCATACGCCATTACAGTGTAAGGCAAATGCATAGCTTTAGGAAGAAACATACCCACGAACTCATCCGTGTAGAAGCAGGGGTCCTCAGATTCCATTTTACTTAGCTACTGGCTCTCAGTGAATGCTGAGTTAACAGCCCTAAATGCTGGCTTTGTTGGGGAGGTGACTCACAATTCTATGACACCATTCTAACCATTCTCCTACCATGGAGAAATGTGGGACTTAAGCAACTGACAATGACCTGATGCTGGTGAGTGTTAGCCATATGCGCCTGGCTAAAACGGAAAGGCAGGTCTCTAAGTTAAATAATCAGCAGAGGCTACCAACCTCACAGGTGCAAACACGCATTGGGCATCTGTGCATCACTTCACACTGCAACAGCAGCTCTACAAGATGGTAAACCACCGCCGGTTGCCCAGGGTTTCGGGGGGGTGGGGAATGACCAGGTGGAACACAGGGGACGTCTTGGGCAGCACAAGTTGTCTTGCATGCTGGTACAATGGTAGCTTATTCAGATGTGACACCCACAAAATGTACAATGCCAAGACTGAGTCCTAATGTAAATTATGAACTTGGGTGATAATGATGTATCAATGTAGGCTCACTGATTAAAACAAATACACCGCACAGGTGTACGATGTTGATAGAAAGGCTGTGCACTGTCCGGCGCCGCGGCTCACTAGGCTAATCCTCCGCCTTGTGGCGCCGGCACACCAGGTTCTAGTCCCGGTCGGGGCGCCGGATTCTGTCCCGGTTGCCCCTCTTCCAGGCCAGCTCTCTGCTGTGGCCCGGGAGTGCAGTGGAGGATGACCCAAATGCTTGGGCCCTGCATCCCACATGGGAGACCAGGAGAAGCACCTGACTCCTGCCATCGGATCAGCGCGGTGCGCCGGCCGCAGCGCGCCGGCTGCGGCGGCCACTGGAGGGTGAACCAACGGCAAAGGAAGACCTTTCTCTCTCTCTCACTGTCCACTCTGCCTGTCAAAAAAGAAAGGCTATGCACAAGATGGGGCAAGGGCTCCGTGGAAAATCTGTTATTTGCAACCAATTTTTCTGTGAACCATAAGCTGCTCTAAAGTGCACATCTATGCAGTAAAACAGCATTAGACTTGATCTGTGTCCATGGGGCTTTCTGTGGGTCACAGAATAAGAGACAGATGACACTTCATTATAATAGGTTCCATTCTATGTGCATATAATATAAGGTGATTGCATAATAGTTTGAGATTGTAAATGTCAAATGCCACAGCTGACTATATGGTACAAGGAAAGAGAAAATTTGATTCCCCTGCATTCTTAAATATTGTATGAATATGTAATGTATACAGATTTGTAATTTGTATGCATATATAATAAAGTAGAGTTGCTAATTTCCCACAGATCTAGAAGTTTTATATTTAATGACCCTGACTCATACATGAGTGATTCTCACTGTTGGTTCAGTGAGGAACAGTAAGGGCGGAGGGCTTGGATCAGGGTAGACGGAGAGCTCTCCCATGGCCCAGTGAGATCAGGCCCAGCCTCTCCACCTTCTCCAGCTTCTCGCTGCCTGCTCCTGTTCTAGATCATCCCTCTGAGCCTCACCTGGTCCTCCGCCCCCATAGCCTGGGCCTTGGCTCTTTCTTCTGCTCGGACAAGTCATGCACTAGCACTTGTCTTAGCTTGTTCCCTTATCTCCTCAAACAAGTGGGGCACCTGCCCACGTGCCCAGAGCCCGTGCAGCTCCTCCTTTGTTGCTCTCCCCAAAGCAGGAGTTGCCTGATGACTTGTGTCGTCGTTAGGCTACCATCTGCTGCCCCTCTTGACCGGGAGGGTCTGAGTGTGTCTGTCCAGAGCCCAGTGCTGCGCCTGGCACCAAGGCTGCTGTCAGTGGACATCTGCTGAGCAAGTCCATGGGTGAAGGCAGACACGTGTGAATGGGGGACAGGAAGCCAAGCGTCAGACCCCAAAAAGTGAGCGTTTTTGTTTTCTGCTGAAAGGCCGACAGGAACGAAGCCAATGAAGGTGTGATAGGGGAGACGAGTAAAGCAGGTGAAGCAAGGGGTTGGCAGAGCCGGAAGACGAATGGGGCAGAGGGGAGCCCCAGGGTCTGCTCGGCCGAGCCCCGGCCCCCGGCAGGGCCACCAGGGCAAAGGGAGCGGCAGGCAGAGGCAGACGGGCCTCGGGGAGGGCAGCTGAATGGGAGGGCTATGGTGATGTCACTTCTCTTCCTAACACCTGCACACTGTCCCCTGCATCTCCCCTTTCACCTCCAGTCCCGGGGAAAGGCTCAGCATCAATCACATTGGTTCAGTTCATCACAGTTTACCACCGTGTGCTCTGTTCCTGCGTGAGAAGTGGAGCCAGGAAAATCTGGCAGCCATGGCAGGTGTAGAGAGCGCCGGTGGGTGTGCCCTTCACCGGGACCTGAGCCCTTTCCCTACCACATTAGGTGCGGCTCACCTGAGGCACGGAGGACCCGGCGGAGCAGTGCCTGGGCTGTCCCATCCCCGTCTCCCTAACAACGACCAGCACTCAAGAAGCTCCCAAAACCCAGCTCCCCCAATGCACTAACGCAATCTTCCCAAGACCGTCTGACTATTGGAAGTAGTACAGGTAACAGCCGGGACTCTGCCGTCTGCCGTGGCCCGGTTTGCTGCCAGCTCTCTCACGTGCCTGCTTCTTGCAAGCCCCGCTGCGGAAGTGACTGTTTTCTGAAGTTCCCTCGCCCGGCCCCTCGGCAGTGCCAGTGGTTTGACCTGATTGATAAGTGAACACGTAAACGTGACACGACAGGCAGCACATTAACCTGCCTCTTCTCCACTAAAAGCATAAAGGCCCGAGGGGTGGGGGGTGTCTGTCCACGAAGAAAGGGAGTCGGCGGCGGGGCAGGAAGAAGCCTTCCGAAGCAACACCAAATAAAAATCCAAACTCACTCTGAAAACCAGGGGAGTCCGTGCGCTGGTTTTCGTCCTCTAATGAAATTAATCTGGAAAGAAAAAAGTTTAATTATCAAGTTCTGCAAGTGACAAAGTTTACGATATACAGCCAATAAAGATGTAGTTCTTCAGTTACAGCAACAACACAACATACACACACACACACACACACAGGCAGAAAGGTCACCATACAGTCATGTACAGGCTGGGGAAACACATTTTCTGGCTTTCTGGCCCATTCCATAGATTCTTGACATCTCGAGTTGGCTGCATCGTGAGGCACACATTCTGTGAGAATCTAGATGGGTCGTTAGGGACAACAAAGACAGGCCATATGGTAAAACACCAGCGGCCAAGCATCAATGAATTCGGATTCCTGATGTTACAGGGACAGGAGCAGGACAGTGAGGCCCCCCTCCAATCTGGCCTACCTGTCTACTGCCCTATCCTTAAAGAAAAAGCCACATCACCCTGAATCTCGTTGGGTACCTCTGAACCTTCCTCCTGCCACCAGGCTTCATCTGTGCCTGCTCTTTCTGAACACAGTTCTTGTTAAACATTCATAGAAATTTTAAATCACTGCTGGGTTATGCTTTTGGAATCTTTAAAGATGGCATAATAAAATACAACAGGAAACAATTTAGTTCAGATGACCCGAGAGAATTCTGAGTAGTTCTCTTCTGAGCAAAGGCGAACGCTTTGTCTTGAATGCATTAACCCACGTGCTGAAAAGAAAGTGCTAGAACTCACTCCAGGCCCACCACCTACTGCACAAGCGTGGTGGGCAGGCCGTTACCAGCCCCCAGCCTCCCCTCCGTCAGCTGCACAAGGGGGAAGTGCCAGCCTGCAACACACTGAGGGTTACTGGGGCAAGAGTGGCATGCATGAGCACCTAGCATTGTGCCAGCATGCGGCTGGTCTGCAGTGAATGCCAGCTAAGCCCTATTACCATTTTCAGCAATAGGTTAACCGTGTTCTGTGAACACCTTCTGCGCTGATATGGATCAGATTCCATAATCCGCTCCATCGTGGAAACAGAAAAACTGCCTTCATTCACCACCAAGGACATTTTCTAGGGTTTGCTTTCAAATGAAAAAGCACCTGTGTTGGCAGAACATATTCCCGTGGGACAAAAATACATCTGAGGTTTCCTTTAAAAAGACAGTGCAAATAAGCCTGTCTCCTCCTAAGATTCTCATCCGAACGTTTCGTGTGGAAGAGGGGTAGCAGGCAGAGGCAAGGGCGTTGATTTTGCTCTCCAATGTCAGCCAGTTCCAGCGTTAACCACCTTCTGCAGGCTATTCCGTCTCCATAGAAAACCACACAGATGCACATTTGAACCTGCCCCTTGCAGGGCGAGATTAGGAAGCGTGCACCGCACACGCTGAAAGGTTCATCTTCATGTTCCAAATGCTGGGAGGTGCCTTTTCTGATCAAAGAGAGGCCAGACATGGAGACGGAGCTGCCACTTCCTGCCCTGGAAGCCGCGCTCTCTGCTTCACAGAGAAAACAAAGTCTCAGCAGAACAAAAAACGGTGTCAAAACGCGACCGTTCTGCAGATTCTCACCTCGACGCGCCACGTGACACAGGGCATCCGCTCCTCCGAGGGAAAAAACCAGGGGGTGTACTGTCCAGGGCAGCACCTTGTGAGAAGGGGACAGAGGAGCAGGCAGGGGCTCAAGGCTGGGGCTGCGACCACAGACAGAGAGCCAGGCCATGTGTGCACACTGGCCCGCCTTGCCCCAGTCAGCTTCTCACAAGGACCCCCGATGGGGGTCTTCTGTTGGGCTAAGCGAGGCCCAGGCTTGCAGGTACCCGTGCTCAGGCAGTTTGGCCTCGACGTGCGTACAACTTTGCGATGAGGAAGACAGTCAGTCACTCAGTGCCCAAGACCCCAGTTCCACACAGGGCTGCCCTCTGCCAGGAGGGACAGCCTGGGACTTACTGGCTCGACTCCTGCATGGGTGCTTCTACACTGTCCTGCTGGGCAACCTTCCTCTTCTCTTCTTTCTCGACCAGTTTCTTCACTGGGTCTTGTAAGCTCTTCATCGTGTGCCGCGGGTACAGCAGGAAGGGAGGGAGGGGAGAAACAAAGCCATCAGGTAAAACACTCAACTGCCCCTGGTCCCAGCAACCAGGCCTGGAATTTGAGGGTTTGGGAGATGAATCTTGAGCCAGTCAGGTGAACAGAAATAAAATTTGTATGTCAAAGCCACAATGTCCGCCCTGGACTTACGTTTTCCCTTTTGTTAGGTTATTTGTGGGAAGGCCTTTTGGCTTTGCTAGCTTTATTTTGCAGCTTCATGCAGCTGAGATAAACACTGTCCTGCTGGCAGCCCACACACTGACAGAGTCACAGCTTCCCGCCACCAAAGACGAGACAATTTGATTTTATTTCTAAGCGTGTTCGCTATTTTGCAACCTAAAAGCTGCTTTTAGAAAAATAACAGAAAACAAACCTTTTTTTTTGTTTCAAACCCCAAATAGTGGCTGAACATACTCTGACAACGCCCACAAGTGGACAGAGCAGGTGCGCCCAATCTTGGCAGATTAAACGCAGGTGAGAGCCTTTTGGGGACATATTTGTTGGAGGCACTGTTTTCAAAGTGTATTCAATATTTTAGAAGCGTTTTTTTTTTCAAAGGCAAGTGCCTTGAAACTACATACCAATGAAACAAACCAAAAAGAGAAAGCAAAAATATTCCTGTAACAACTGAACAAGGAGGTCTCACAAACATCTCTTTGTCTGGACCTAATTAAAACACAAATCTACAAATACAAAAGAAACATGGCAAGATACTTATCCATCTCACAGCCTCAGAATTACTAACATCAAGTCCTCATCCTCGGGTCTTCCCTCCTCTCCTGGCTTCCTCTTCCTGGAGGTCACTTCTCTAGTGTGCCACACACAGAAGGAGGCAATCAAGTTCCATAACCACCCTGGATCGATTAGTAATGGCTGACTGGAGAGCCGGGTAAAGACGGTTCTAAGGCTGGATCAGGGCAGAGCAGAGCTGTGATTGATTTTGGAGTCTGCCATGACCGGCAGATGGAGGCTGGCATGACTCCTCCTCACGGCCAGCTCGTCCCCTGCAGAGTGATCTTCCTGAACACCCAGCCGTCAGAACCTGCACTGGTTCCCCTTCTTCTCGTCTCAGCCTCTCTGCCTGATTTGAAGGACCTCCTCTCTCAGCTCTCCCAGCGCACTTCCCACTATCCCCAGACACGGGCTTTCCACTCAGAGAGACCTTTGCCTCTGCTTGCTTTTCAAACCCCAGAGCAGTGTCCATGACTTCTCTTAAAGCTTCATTAAGCCGCCGGCGCCGCGGCTCACTAGGCCTTGCGGCACCGGCACACCGGGTTCTAGTCCCGGTCGGGGTGCTGGATTCTAGATTCTGTCCCGGTTGCCCCTCTTCCAGGCCAGCTCTCTGCTGTGGCCAGGGAGTGCAGTGGAGGATGGCCCAGGTGCTTGGGCCCTGCACCCCATGGGAGACCAGGAGAAGCACCTGGCTCCTGCCATCGGATCAGTGCGGTGCGCCGGCCGTAGTGCGCTGGCTGCGGCGCGCTGGCCGCGGCGGCCATTGGAGGGTGAACCAACAGCAAAGGAAGACCTTTCTCTCTGTCTCTCTCTCTCACTGTCCACTCTGCCTGTCAAAAAAAAAAAAAAAAAGCTTCATTAAGCCATGCCAAGTTCAACAAAAGTCCTTCTAACTCCATACTGCATTGAGACTCATTAATATTTAATCATAAATCCTGTATTAGTTTTGCCACTTATTGCTTATTTTTACATATATTATCTTATATTAATAATTCTACATCTATTTAAAAAAACAAAAGTAGAAGACAGGACTTTGGATATTCTTCTCCAAACAGACATGTTGACTGCTTGAGAAGATAACATTTACCCTGATTGGACACCATACAACATACTGAAACCTCATAAAAATGTATTTTTTAATTTTAATGAATACTTTTAAAATTAGAAAAATAATAGATATAGAAAGTTTGGAAAGCACAAAAAGTAAAAAGCAATCATAATTCCATTCCACTAAAATTTAATATTTTCATATATTCTCTTTTTTTAAGATTTATTTATTTATTCAAAAGTCAGAGTTACAGAGAGAGAGGAGAGGCAGAGAGAGAGAGAGAGAGAGAGAGAGAGAGAGAGAGAGGTCTTTCATCCGCTAGTTCACTCCCCAATTGGCTGCAATGGCCGGAGCTGCACTGATCCGAAGCCAGGGCCAGGAGCTTCTTCCGGGTCTCCCACGCAGATGCAGGGGCCCAAGGACTTAAACCATCTTCTACTGCTTTCCCAGGCCATAGTAGAGAGCTGGATCAGAAGTAGAGCAGCTGGATCCCGAATGGGATGCCAGCACTTCAGGCCAGGGCTTAACCCGCTGCGCCACAGCGCCGGCCCCGAAATATTCTCTTTTTTTATACTTAAGTTATTTACATAAATAGGATTGCTGTATATCTATATCTTACAGATATATGATAGGCAGAGTGGACAGTGAGAGAGAGGGAGAGAGAGAGAGAGAAAGAGAGAGAGAGAGAGAGAGAGAGAGAGAGAAAGGTCTTCCTTTTCCATTGGTTCACCCCTCAATGGCAGCGCACCGCGCTGATCCAAAGCCAGGAGCCAGGTTCTTCTCCTGGTCTCCCATGCGGGTGCAGGGCCCAAGAACTTGGGCCATCCTCCACTGCACTCCCGGGCCACAGCAGAGAGCTGGACAGGAAGAGAAGTGACCAGGACAGAACCTGGCGCCCCAACTGGGACTAGAACCCAGTGTGCTGGCGCCACAGGTGGAGGATTAGCCTATTGAGCCGTGGCGCCGTCCCCAGAGATATTCTTAAATATAATTTATATACACATTCATAATCAAAAATTGTAATTACAGTGTAGGATGTACAAAAGATTTTATATGTCCTGAACATTTAATATTGAACTGAAGTAGACAAGTGTGCATTCATTCAGCAATATTCCAACACAGGTCCAAGGGCTTCTCTGCACCTATGTCCCTGGTTTGAGATCTGAAGCATTTTCTTGCAAAAAGCACACCCACATGGCACTGAGATCATTTAATCATTTTCAATTGGCACATACAAATCACACATATTTTTAGAGTACACTTGATGTGCTTGTTTGATACACAAACACTGTAGAATGTTCAAATCAGGATAAGTCCATCTACATCCTCAAATGATTTGTTTGTGATGAAAACACTCAAAATCTTTCTGGTTTTTTTGAACTATATGGTAGGTTATTGTCTATGATCACCAGAACTTATTTTTCCCATCTAACTGTAACTCAGAACTAACCTCTCCTCGTCTCTCTCTTTCTCTTCTCCTCCCACAACCTCTGGTAATCATTAATCTACTCTCAACATCCAGGAGAACGATCTCCTTAGATTCCGTATATGAAAAAGATCACGTGGTATTTCCCATTCTGTGCTTGGTTTATTATGCTTAACATAGTGACCACCAGTTCCATCCATGGTGTGGCAAATGGCAGGATCTCATCCTTTGTACGCTTTAGTAGTATTTCCATTACATCTCTGTACGTGTTCTCTATCCGCTCATCAGCTGATGGACATGTAAGCCATTTCAGCTCTTCGCCATCGTCAAAGCACTGCGACAAACATTTCAGTGCAGATGTCAGCAGCCAGTCCCGTTTCCTTTGGGTATATTCCTGGCAGGACTTCCAGATCATACAGTATTTACATTTGTAATTTCTTAAGGAGCTTCCATACTGCTTTCTAAACTGGCTGTACCAATTTACGTCCCTAGCAACAGCGTGGAAGGCTTCCCTTCTCATCCTTGTCTGCACGTGTCATGTTTCAGCATTTTTGATGTCAGCCACTCTAACTCCGCTGCCATTTCTAACAACTCCACATTTCTGGATATTTAGATGAGTCGTTCAGTGAACAAACAGTGTCTGAACACCTATCAAGTGCCAGGTGCTAGTTTGGGTGCTGTGGATACACCAGTGAACATGACAGACAAAATAACCAGATTGGTGCAGGCACATAATTAAAAGGAAGGGTTTGAGAGTGACGGGGTCATCACTTCAGCTAGCAGGATGTCTTCTCTGGGAAGTGACATTTCAACTGAAAGCTGAATGACAGGAAGGAGCCAGCCATGGGCAGCTCAGAAGAGGGAGCGGGATACAGAGGCTCAAAGGTGGGAATGGCTTGGCTTCTTGAAGAACCAGAAGGATGCTTCTAGGGCTGCTGTCAAGTTGGCAAGGGTTCCAGTCTCACAAGACAGGGCCACATAGGGGAAAACACTCCTGTACCCAGATGCATCAGTATTTAACATTTTGCCCCATTTTGGTTCATCATACACTTTTTTTTTTTGTCTCTCTAATGCATGACAACTAAATGCAATAGGTGATCCTAGGCTGCAGTCTTTGCCTGCACAGGGAAATACTACAAAGGACAGCATTAGGACTAATGAGACCATCGGAACAACGTCTGTACTCTAGATGCTCATGATTTTTTATAGAGCCCTGAGCACCCTGGAAAAGATGCGTGCATGCATGCACATTGTGTATTTTGGAAGTGAGCGACCACGTGGCTGTCAAAGACGTCCTCTTTTCAACAGATCTGCCAGTCATAGCATTTATATATATATATATATACACACACACACACACACAGTCACGTGGTTTTATTCCCCAGAGAATGTCCAACTCTGATGGTAGGCAAATCAGGCGTATTTTCAGCTAAGGTTCTGATTGGCTCCAAAGACTCATTTTTAGCTTCTGTGACACTTGCCCAGGCCTCCTGGTTTGCTCAATTATCTTCTCATTGTGTTTCCTTTTCATCAATCAACACTAGGCTGGGCCAGGACATGTCTGCTCTCAGCCGGCCGTGTCCAGCTGCCCCAGGCCTGCCCTCAAGCCTTGAGATGCCCTTGACAGCACCACGGTTATCATCCCTTCCGTCTCTGGACCGACCTCCCCTCAGAACCACACTTGAGCAGCTCGTAGACACCCCTATCGTAATGTAAACCGCTCACTCCTTTTCCACCCCTTCCCTGCTGGG